ATAAATCGTTCGGCCCTCTTCGACTTTGGCCGGGATGTTCGTTCCTATCAAGTCAGTGGCCCGCGCATACCAACGCTGCAAGTACTCTATATCCTGCCTGGCAACGACCGCTCTCAATCCCAGATCGTCAGCAAGCACTGCTTCCAGCCCGTATACGCTGAGCAGCACGAGACCTGCGAACAACGACGTCTTCATCTTGGCGGAGTCCCCCCTGCGTTCAAATCTAGACCAGCCTGGTTTTGAGCCATAGCCTTCGCGGGAAAAAGACAAAAAAAAAACAAACAAACTGTGTGCAAGCAAAGGTTGCGCAGCGCAAAAGGTATATTGAGATGACTTTATTTGTGCAAGCGTACTCTATCCAGGTTGATCCAGAAGGGCCACGCGGCTTGATATCGTCGTTTACGAAAATAAGGGACCCCTCACACATAGACCCCAAATAGTAGGATTACCTGATAATGAGCACCCCAGGAAGAGCCCCCGAATTTCGGAAACCCTAAACCCCAAACCCTAAACCCTCTGCATGAAAGTAATTCCGGATCTTTCCGAGTTCGACGATCTGGATCCAACAGACACCCGAAACCTATGGCAAGTCTCTTATACCCTGTGAAAGGGTCTTAGGGTTTAGGGCTTAGGGTTTAGGGTCGCCGCTACTACAGACCCTCAATCCCAAAACCCTAAACCCCAAACCCTAAACCCCAAACCCTAACCCCTATAAACCCTCTACCTCCTTCTCTGTGAGAGATAAGTGCGTTTAAGCCCTTGTCCAACCCCCAAGCCCCCCAAATCCTGATGTTTGGTTGCTCCCTTCCGTCTGAAAGCAATGTGCAGCGACTAGCCCTAAACCCTAAACCCTAAACCCTAAACCCTAAACCCTAAACCCTAAACCCTAAACCCTAAACCCTAAACCCTAAACCCTAAACCCTAAACCCTAAACCCTAAACCCTAAACCCTAAACCCTAAACCCTAAACCCTAAACCCTACCCTAAACCGTATACTTGGGCCCCCAAAGTCCCTATATATGAGGTGCTTGTGAAGGCTCAAGTATTCCCTATTTAGGTACATGGGCCCTTAGGGTAGGGCTGCGTGTGGGGACGGGGAGGGAGGGTGGGGTTCCGAATATGAGGTGTGTACCCTTTTGAGGGACTTCGGGTTTGGGGCCGATACGTCATGCAAATGATCTGTGATACCCTTGGAGCTAAACCCTAAACCCTAAACTCTAAGCCCTAAACCCTAAACCCTGAACCCTGAACCCTGAACCCTAAACCCTAAACCCTAAACCCTAAACCCTAAACCCTAAAGCCTGAACCCTGAACCCTGAACCCTGAACCCTGAACCCTGAACCCGAAACCTCTTTTGCTCTCTGCCATCACAGCTGTGATCTGAATTCTCTGCAGTCTCCTAGCCATGACTGGCGCCTAGGCATTAGGTAGGGTCGAGGGTCGAGGGCTGAAGAACATCCTCTCAAAGACGTTTAGGGTTTAGGGTTTAGGGTTTAGGGTTTAGGGTTTAGGGTTTGGGGTTTAGGGTCTGGTTTAGGGTTTAGGGTTTAGCGTTGAGGGTACTATCTTGTGGCTATGTCCCAAACCATCAGTGGGAGTTGCAAATCATAAGACCTGAACGGAACATGAGCCCTAAATAGAGATGGCAGGATTGCCACAAACCCTCAACCCTAAAAACGGACAAACGCTGAATCTTGAAACAACATGTTGGGACTGACAAGCCCTGATCCTCAAAGGATATGCTGGCAATAGCAAGCCATCAATAACTACAACCCCCAAAGAGTTAAAACATATTCTTCCGTGTACGGGCGATATATGGATGATTGTCTAGGGATCTTGAGCAAATAGGAGACAAACCCTAAACTAAGATGGCGGGAGTGCCAGATGCTCACTATGCAGAGATTCCGGGTAAGCCCGGCAATGTCATTGAAAGGGTCTGGTGTTTGCCAGGCTGAATCTCTTTTTAAGTTTAGGTCAGCTTTAGGGCTTAGCGTTTAGGGTCAGTGTGTCACACCCGACATCTCCTCACGAGGCGCACTGACCGTGACTAGATTGCCGCACCTTATTGTCGCTTGGAGCTCGGGCACTATATGGGCGTTAAGAACAAAGGGGGGGGGGGGGGAGTATTCTGGCAGAAGTATAGAGGGGCCATAAGGGAAAACGGTTAGTAACTACTCCGCCGCCTATTTCCGACGCCTATAGGACATGCTTTTGAGAGACTGCGTGGAAAGCAGGGGTCTTGCGAAGACCATGTGCGAGGTGCTCTCTCGCAAAACTTATTGCGAAAGCTCTAGACCTTGCGACACTTCCTGCAAGACTCGGTGTCGACAATGTTGCAGCTACGTCTTGGAACTTATCTGCCTACCTAAGAATCCAGATCCCGCCCTATGCTCTTCTAGATGCTGTAACCGTACAAAGTACGTTTTGCATTTCACTGTGTTGTGTTCCTATAGTGCAAGTATGCCGACACCATGAAATCGAGTCCAGTAATGGTACATAGACAAGCGGCAGCGACCCCTGCCCAGTGCTTCTGAGCCCGGATGTTATCCAGCTGCACCGGGAACGTTTGTAGGGTGCTGCAGTGTCCACACTAGCAAGCCGCAACCCTAAACCTCAAACTCCAGGGTTTAGGGTTTAGGGTTTAGGGTTTAGGTTTAGGGTTTAGACTTAAATTCTTAAACTCCAGTTTACGGTCCATAGGATTCATAAACTCTGAGACTTATAAACGGCTAAACCATGTGCCTCGCGGGCTACATGTACCGTAGGGTCACTTGTGGAACCTTACGTGTTTTGGTGGGGCACTTTGGGTTGAAGGTTTCGGTTTAAGGGCGACGAAGCCCTTAACCCAAAAAACTTGTCCGCAAGGATTCAGAAAGGGATGGTGTAGGGATTAGGGTGATATGCTGGCAATAGCAAGCCATCAATAACTACAACCCCCAAAGAGTTAAAACATATTCTTCCGTGTACGGGCGATATATGGATGATTGTCTAGGGATCTTGAGCAAATAGGAGACACACCCTAAACTAAGATGGCGGGAGTGCCAGATGCTCACTATGCAGAGATTCCGGGTAAGCCCGGCAATGTCATTGAAAGGGCCTAGTGTTTGCCAGGCTGAATCTCTTTTTAAGTTTAGGTCGTAGCTTTAGGGCTTAGCGTTTAGGGTCAGTGTGTCACACCCGACATCTCCTCACGAGGCGCACTGACCGTGACTAGATTGCCGCACCTTATTGTCGCTTGGAGCTCGGGCACTATATGGGCGTTAAGAACAAAGGGGGGGGGGGGGGGAGTATTCTGGCAGAAGTATAGAGGGGCCATAAGGGAAAACGGTTAGTAACTACTCCGCCGCCTATTTCCGACGCCTATAGGACATGCTTTTGAGAGACTGCGTGGAAAGCAGGGGTCTTGCGAAGACCATGTGCGAGGTGCTCTCTCGCAAAACTTATTGCGAAAGCTCTAGACCTTGCGACACTTCCTGCAAGACTCGGTGTCGACAATGTTGCAGCTACGTCTTGGAACTTATCTGCCTACCTAAGAATCCAGATCCCGCCCTATGCTCTTCTAGATGCTGTAGCCGTACAAAGTACGTTTTGCATTTCACTGTGTTGTGTTCCTATAGTGCAAGTATGCCGACACCATGAAATCGAGTCCAGTAATGGTACATAGACAAGCGGCAGCGACCCCTGCCCAGTGCTTCTGAGCCCGGATGTTATCCAGCTGCACCGGGAACGTTTGTAGGGTGCTGCAGTGTCCACACTAGCAAGCCGCAACCCTAAACCTTAAACTCCAGGGTTTAGGGTTTAGGGTTTAGGGTTTAGGTTTAGGGTTTAGACTTAAATTCTTAAACTCCAGTTTACGGTCCATAGGATTCATAAACTCTGAGACTTATAAACGGCTAAACCATGTGCCTCGCGGGCTACATGTACCGTAGGGTCACTTGTGGAACCTTACGTGTTTTGGTGGGGCACTTTGGGTTGAAGGTTTCGGTTTAAGGGCGACGAAGCCCTTAACCCAAAAAACTTGTCCGCAAGGATTCAGAAAGGGATGGTGTAGGGATTAGGGTTTAGGGCTTCAGGTTTAGGGCTTCAGCGTTAAGGGTTAAGGGTTTAGGTTTTAGGGTTGTAAGTAGCTGACAGCCATGTCAGTGAGCCGCAGGCTCTCCAAATCTGTGCCGCCACATGTGACCGCTCAGCTCAGCCGTTTTGTCAAAGCACGCGTGCACTAGTGGTGCTCCCTGGGCAAGCGTGCTTGCCGTTGAGTTTGCGCTAAACCCTAAACCCTGAACCCTACACCCTAAACCCTAAACCCCAAACCCTAGACTCTCCCCTACTTAAGGTTCAGGAGGGCGCTTATAAGGTTCAGGAGGGCTTGGGGCTTAGGGTTTAGGGTTCAGGTTCAGGGTTTAGGGCTTAGGGTTCAGGGTATCATAAGCCCTATGCATCCCCGTGGGATCCGCATTGCGGGCATATGGACGATAAACCCTCTTAGGTTTCCTTTATAAGAGTTAAAGGTCGGCAAGCAAGCCTGCTCCGTCATTTGGTTTACATCACGCACACTGAAAATTGTCCAGAAAAATGTCCAGCTGCTCAGCCTTCCCAAGGGTCCCCCAAGCGTCTTCCTGAACACCCCTAAGCCCTAAACTGCAAACCTCTAACCTCCTAAATCCTACTTGGAGGTTCATGATGATCTATATAGCCCCGATTATAACTGTACTTATCACCTACTTAGGGGACTTAGAGGGCTTCGAAGTGCAGTTATAATTGGGTTAAAAGTACCCTAAAAGTCCATGGACCCTTAGGGGTACCCTTCCTTGAACCTCCAAGTGCAGTGATGCAAGATAGTTCACCTGGCTCCAGATCTACTATAGGGGCCTGAATAAATTCGAGGAGGGTTGTTGGGGGGTTATTCGAGTATACTTATAAAAAGGGGCCCTAAGGAAACACTGTTAAATTAATTAAGTAACTAAATTATTCCGACCCCTTTTGTAGAACTCATGTAGAACTCTAAAGGACCTCCTTGGGCGGTGCCTGGGCTTTGCGGCCCACCCCTCGGCCCCTCGCCTTGGAGCACACAAAAAGTTTCGAAAAGGCCCCGTGCTTACGGATAAGCTCGATGCCTGTGTCGTTCCGACAGAAGCTTCTGAACTCGGATTCCAAGCGCTCTAAAAGACCGAGCACCATCTGGTGACACATCTCAAGACTCTCCTGCGTCGTACAGCTCAAGTAGAGCTTCAACTTCATCCGAGCCTCGAGACCGCCAAACTCAAGATGCCGGCTGCCGCGCCCACGCAAACGGACCTTGCCCTCACACTGGTCCACGATCTTCTTCATGTTGACACCGCCTCGCCCATAGAGCTTCGGCACGAAGTCAAAAGCCTTGAGCAGGTCTGGATGCGGGAGGAACTGGTAGTCGCGAACGCAAGCCCTTCTTCTGTCCACCTGCGCTGCCCCGTTGCCGGTTGACCTGGCCTCTCCCCCCCCCCAATTCGCTCCACCTCCATGGTGTGTGGGTTGGAGTCTGGCAGCAAACCGGGTGTCAGTGGCATCGTGAACCGCGCCACGCGAGCCTGCTACGGAGGTGTGGGGTTTTGGGGGGTCTGGGATCTTCGGGCCTTCTTGACACTTCAGGGCTTGCTGCAGTCTGTGAGGCCTTGCCTTGTTCTTCTCCTCCATGCCAGCCCCTGCGTCGTGCGACTGGGCCCAGGCCGACGTTGCGCTCGTGGCCGCCACGCAGCGCAGCCAGGCGAGCGCTCGCAGTGCCGCGGTGGCTTCGGGGCTCACCGCCTCGAGGCCGGGCGGGGCATCTAGGAGCGGCATCCCGAGCTGGGCCATCTTTGACCTTAAGCTCTGAGTGGAAGCGCGAAAACTCCGACACTGCTGGGGGCCAAAAACTCTGTGCAGACTGGCAGCTGGCCGTAACTGTTCTGGTGTAGGGTTCAAGGAAATCCTATAAGCCCCAAACCCCTAAACCCTAAACCTTCCCCCGAAACCCGCAAACTCCAAACCCTTAATCCCCAAACAGTAAGCCCCCCTGTAAAGAGGGCATGTGGGGCCAGTACTGGGCATGGGGCCCCCCTGCTTTCTTCTCCCTGTCCCAAGAGCTCAGGCCTTAGCAGGTTTAGAGTTTAGGGCTTGGGGTTTATTCGGGTTTCGGGTTTCGGGATCAGTTAGGGCGTGGGGTTCACATCACAATGACGATTTTGTATGAAAGAAAGAGCAGGAGCAAAAGTAGCTCAACTGCTAAACGCACCGACGACCCACATACTTACTGTTGGTGAGCAGGGAATGAGGGAATTAGGGCCCTTTTTTTTCCCTGTAAGGGATGATGTAGGGTACCTCTAACCAACTGCAAGCATAAAAGAAGCATACGAAGAATACGAACCATGGTAGCCCAGAAAACATATTACAGATGATGAAGGGCACCCTTTTAGGGTTTAGGGTTTAGGGTTTAGGGTTTAGGGTTTAGGGTTTAGGGTACTTTATAAGGGAATCAAGAACCCAAAAAAGGGTAAAGGGTACCACGGGGCTACCAAGTAAGGGGGGTTATAAGGTTCCCCCTTACGCTAGCAGTCCTTAAGAGGGCGGAACGCGACAACCCTAAACCCTAAACCCTAACCCTGAACCCTAAACCCCAAACCCTGAACCCAAGACACCCTGAGCCAAGCCTCCTGAACCCACGCGCTCCAGGCTCATGAACCCAAAAAAGGGTTTAGGGTTTAGGGTTTGGGGGTTGGGGTTTGGGGTTTAGGGTTTAGGGTTTAGGGTTTAGGGTTTAGGGTTTAGGGTTTAGGGTTTTCAACCCGGGTTTGGGGGGGTGATGGGTTCCATCCTCCTACCCTTTTCCCCTCGCGCCTGGGCCATGGACGACCTCGGTTTGGGCCCTTCAAGGGGCCCACGGCTGCTGGGCCGAGAACAGCGCGGGCAAGGTGGCGATGTTTAAAACTTGGGGCCTGAACCCTAAACCCTAAACCCGTTTTTGGGGTTTGGGGGTCGCAGCCAGGTAAAGCCTTTCTGCCCCATCTAGGCTTCAGGGTTTATGAAGATTCTGCAACCACGTCGACTCGTCGGCGCCGGTTTAGGGTTTACTTAGGTTTAGGGTTTAGGGTTTAGGGTTTAGGGTTTAGGGTTTAGGGTTTAGGGTTTAGAGTTTAGGGTTTAGGGTTTAGGGTTTAGGGTTTAGGGTTTAGGGTTTAGGGTTTAGGGTTTAGGGTTTAGGGTTTAGGGGTTAGGGGTTAGGGGTTAGGGTTCGGTGGTTCTGTGGTTATAACCGCCCTAAGAATAGGGTCCAGGGGTTGGGGCTTTTCGGCCCTAACCCTGAACGCAAATCCCCAGCCCTGAACCCTCGCCTCCTATAATCCCTTAACCCTCAACCCTAACCCTGGAAGAAGGCTTCGCAGACCCTGATCCCTGCATCCTGGACTTTGAACCCTAGCCCCCCAACCCTTCAGCCCTACAAATCTTGTTTGCGGTAGGACGGTCATATAGAATCAAGCACCTAAACCCTAAACCTAAAGCCTATAAACCCCAAGCCCCGTCAGTGATGACGTTCCCAATTCTGAGTGTAGTAGCTACCTTGGAAGGCTTCAAGGCTAAGCTCTCTGAACCCAACTTAAACCCTAGACCCTGAATCCCAAGCCCTAAACCTCAACTCTGAACCACCAGCTGTAGTTAAACCCTAAACCCTAAACCCTAAGCCCTAAGCCCTAAACCCTAAACCCTAAACCCTAAACCCTAAACCCTAAACCCTAAACCCTCGACCTGTCTTCTCTTCACGCGTCTCCGCCTTTGCGGGCTCCGTCTGACCATCGCGGCATCCCGGAAGGCGGCACCCCGTGCTCCCGACTCTTGAGGGAGGCCCTAAGGGTCCATGTACCTAATTATGGAATACTTGGGCCTTAAAGCCTCCCCCTAAGGGTCCATGTACCTAATTATGGAATACTTGGGCCTTAAAGCCTAAGGGTCCATGTACCTAATTATGGAATACTTGGGCCTTAAAGTACTTCCTATATAAGGACTTTTGGGTCTAAGTAACCCTAAGGGTCCATGTACCTAATTATGGAATACTTGGGCCTTAAAGTACTTCCTATATAAGGACTTTTGGGTCTAAGTAATATAATAATAAGGTACGTGGACCCTTAGGGAGGTTGTTGCAGTGTTACCGTGTTTGTCTTCAGGGTTAGGGTTTAGGGTTTGGGGTTTGGGGTTTAGGGTTTAGGGGTTTAGGGGTTTAGGGGTTTAGGGGTTTAGGGGTTTAGGGGTTTAGGGGTTTAGGGGTTTAGGGGTTTAGGGGTTTAGGGGTTTAGGCCTTAGAGTTTGTACCCTAAGCTCTAAACCCCGAACTAGACACTCTCGGCTTGCCGTTCGGGTTTAGGGTTCCAGCCGACTAAACGACCCAGCTTGCTAACTACTATTCCTAAACCCTAAGCCCTAAGCCCTACATAACCCTAAACCCTAAACCCTAAACCCTAAACCCTAAACCCGAAACCCTACTTAATGACTACTCAGTCCCACTCAGTCCCGCCCATGCCAAGTAAAGATGCCTAATGCTTTGCGGTTGACGGGACCACGGATGCCTTCGTTGGGGCTTAGGCTTAGGGCTTAGGGTTTAGGGGTTGGGGTTCAGGCCGGGTTTCTGAGGTTCGGGGAGAGGATAAGCCTAAACCCTAAACCCTCAAATCAAAGAGGGGTTTTTGGTGGAGGTTTTCAAGAGGTGGGAATGGCAGGGCGCGGGGGCACCGACTTCTGGGAGAGTGAGATGTCAAGACACCGGAACGGTGTCACTGGTGGAGTCACCAGCGGTGGTTCAAGAGTCAGGCCTTGCAGTCGAAATTAAATTTTAGCTACCTTGTTAAGAAACCCAATAAACCCAAAAAGGCTAAGGATCTAAAGTTACAGCAAAGCCCCACAAAGTAGATACCTTGATGAACCTTCTGCTGGCGTAAGAACCTGCTCATCACTGCATCTCGATGGGAATGTCCTCGAAATGCGTCCGCTTGTTGCCCTGCAGCCAGGAATATTCAGGGAGGGACTTCTTGCTGCTGCCAAAGAGGTTTGAGCCCTAAGGGTCCATGTACCTTATTATGATATACTTAGACCCAAAAGTCCTTATATAGGAAGTACTTTAAGGCCCAAGAATTCCATAATTAGGTACATGGACCCTTAGGGGAGGCTTTAGGCAGGCTGTCGATGGCGAGGAGTAGCGAAGCTGGAGCTGTGATACTTGTGACAGCCATGTGGGTAGTTCTCTAAATTATAGGGTCCCTTTTTGGGGTTCTGTTTATAAGGGTGCCGTGCAATCATACGCCCCCGCCCCCTCCTCCACCCTAAACCCTAAACCCTAAACCCTAAACCCTAAACCCTAAACCCTAAACCCTAAACCCGAAACCCGAAAGCCCTCAGCCCTAAGCCCTAAACCCGAATACGACCCTTCAAGAGATCCCTAGGAACTGAACTTCCAGATTTCTATGGAGAGAGCCAGCCTTCCTAAACCCTAAACCCTAAACCCGAAACCCTAAACCCTAAACCCTAAACCCTAAATAAGGGTCCCCCTCATCCTACCTAGGAAGACAGCTCGCACATGGCAACTGCTGGCCTTGTAGTGCTCGGGTGCCATGTCGGGGTGCATGTACCGGACCATCATGATCACCTGAGTTCGGGTTTAGGGTTTAGGGCTTAGGGCTTAGGGCTTAGGATTTAGGGTTTAGGGTTTAGGGTTCAGGGTGCAGGGTTCAGGGTTTAGGGTTCGGGTTTAGGGTTTATAGGGTGTATGGTTTAGGGTTACCACTCTTCACTGGAGCCACATCCTGCTTACGGTTTAGGGTAAAGGGAATAAGCATGAGGAACGACTCTGAACTCGGCACCTTTACTAACCAAGAACTACAACCCCTCAACCCTCAACCCCCGACACCCCAAACCCGAAACCCCCAAACCCCAAACCCCAAACCCCAAACCCTAAACAAAAAAACCGTAGCTGAGGCCGGTGCCCTTGTTTCTTTGCACTGGTGGCAGTTGATGGTGTGGTCATAGCCTGGGGCACCATCCAGCAGACTCCGAACATTTCGTGCGGTTTGGGCTTTGGGATTTGGGGTTAGGAATCAGGGTTTCGGGTTTAGAGAGCCGAAATTGATGAGGGTTTAAGGGAGGGATGAGGGGTGAGGGTTAGGGCATTTAGGGTTCAGGCTACCAAAAGAGGGCCTACGAAACTCAGGGGGCCCCCAGTTTTTTAATATAGGTCCCCAAATAGTAGGATTCCCTCCCAAAACCTCCTGTAAATGGTCGCTGCTCACGCTCAGCTGCGAGGGATACATAAACAGTGACGGCTTCCTCACCAATCGCAGGCTTGATGCTGCGGACGGTAAATCTGGACGGAAGGAACACCAACCAGTTGGGAGGAAATGTCATCACTCTCAAGCAAGTCCCTCAGCGCAGCCGCAATTCGAACTCTCTGGGCTTCGCAGTAGGTGATGACCATCACCAAGCAGGCTGCAGGGTTCATAACCTCCGCTGTACCTAGGATGGATTTCAAATCTGAGCGCATGGTGCTGATGACAGCCTGAGCTTCACTGACTGAATAACGAGATCCAGTAGAATCGAAAGTCAAATCTTGATACGGGCCATCAGCGACTGCGATATCAACTTTGGAACGCACAACCCGTGATCTTGAACAATGGTCCGGCATAGTCCTTGGGAGTACGGTACTGAGTCTTTAGTATCGCCGTGAATCCTTACAACAAGGACCCCAATAAGGTACCCCTACGTTCGGAGACTCCCGCAAAACTAGCTGCTTTGAACCCCGGAGTTCCTGCAACCTCACAGCCCCTCAAGCAACATAG